CAAAAGAAGAATGGCAAAAATGTTACGTACACCACTTCATCAAACGTGCGCTTAAACATACTTCCCTGGAGAATGGAAGCATTTAATAATTTATTCTTGATTTCAGCGGGGATGAGGAACCGCGTGAACCAATTTTAGTGATATCACCCTACTTTCAACTCAGAAAATGTTTTTCACTTGAATATCTTAGAACGTTTGAGACAGGTAGCTCATGAAAGACTCTGGCCCAGATTAAATAGGCTTATGGACGAAGTATTACTGAGCTGAAAACATTTTCACTCTTAAGAGCATGACTGAAGAATGTCGACCGTTTCCGTTGCTTCGGTTTGATAGTTTCATTGATTCATTTAATTCAATATATCGTCCGATGACGTTGACAATTGAACACATGGCTTCGATTTTGGAAGCAATATAAATATGAAGTATGCATGCTGCCAAATTAGAGGCAGAGATATTTCAGTAGACCATCTGACTGGGAAGTTGGCTGGAGGAGACATGCTTTCGCCATACAATTCGACGTTTTTCTCAACTTTCCTCTATGAAATAGTGCTTACCCTGCACAAACGAAAATCTCTTTATGGAAGGGAAGCACATTTCAACATATCTGGCTAGATATGCTGCTGACCTGAAGTACGCAGATGAAAAGATTTTACTTAGTTGTACAGGAAATTGGCCCTGTCACTTGAAGACCTGACTACTGCTAATGCTGGACATTTTACGAAATGAAGTTCAAAGCTATGAATAACTCATCCTGTGCATCCGATCTAGAAATGCGATATAGCGGTAAAGCTCTTTCGAATATTGACTAGTTCAAGTATACCAGCTACATCGTCCCCAACGATGGCACTGTCAAATCTCATTTAAATTGAAAAATCGTTGTAGCTTTGAGTGCTTGCAGAAACCATTGCAGCATTTAAGCTTCGAATGAAATAACACTTACTAGAAAAATCCACGTGTAAGTGCTGGATATATCACACTCTCAAGTAAGTGTTGTTATATGATATGGAGATAAATATAATAAGGAAAAAGCTGAATAGGAAAAATGCTGATAGACAGCAGCGTCAGCTTCGTATGATGAAGATTAATTAGTGAAATGACGCAACTAACGAAAACCGTATGCCAACCGCTCGTGTACAACGTAAAAAATGAGATGAAAAAGAAAATTTTTTCTGTTAGACGGCTGTAACTGGGCTATGGACAGTTCCTGTAGAGCAAAATTTTGCTTGAATATTTTATCGAGGAATGTCGCTACGTAGGAGCTATGTTGAACCTGAAAATTATGAGCGGAAATAATACAGTACCTTAAATTCGATATTAAGCAAGGTGATCACTTCCTCGTGGAATTTAGGGCAAGCACGTGTATGTTTTTCGGCAGGTGTCCAGTAGTTTTCAGTCATGAATATGGAACTAAAAAAACGCGTTCCCCAAAAATTATAATTGGAAATGTTATCATTCATTCCAGCATTGTTCAATATGCGTGTTTAAGGGTATGTGATTTAGTAGCAGTTATGCGTCTTTTGAAGGAAAGCACACCAACTTTGTCGATTTTCTTTGCGAAGTTCTTGCACGTGTAACCTTGGGAAGCAGTTGCGTTATTTTATATCTAATTCAATTTTTGTTACCTTTTGTGTGAATTAGATCCATATGGACGAACGGGTTTCCGGTATCATCCGATCATTTGTAAATGTGCCCTGGTAACGCAGTACTAATATTTTAATCCTGTGACGTTTCTGTGTTCTTTAAGTCTGTAATTGGGTTGTAGTACGTTCTCGACTTGCCACGAAACTGCGTGTTTTGCACTTTGAAACTTTCGCTGATAGATGACCGAGGGAGAAAGCCGTTCTCATCGAGTGGTGATAAAAAATTTCCATTTGAGCAAATGTATGGTGCTCTTTGCGAATAAGTTTTTCTTCATTTTATTGCTTACGTCTTCGTTATTTCTCACGCTGTAGACAAAAGGCTTAATGAAAAGGTTCGTTATGTTAACCGTGATTTTTAAGCCAGTCCATATATCTGGCTTCGTCTGTTAACAGTCACCAGACAGTAACGGGGGTTAGGGATAGTTCAGCCGAGAACGGTGGGAGGGAGAACAGGTCAGATTTAGTTCGTGAATCCCAAAGCTGTTAACTGTCGAGACAACTGCAACTGGAGGAAGACGTTTCTCCTGGTTTCGACACGAATATCTAAAAGTAGAACGTTTTGCGTACAAGTTCGACAGGAATCATTTGGGCCACCATATGATTCTTAATAAAAAATATCGCGATGATGCAATAATACCAGATATACATATAATGCAATGCTTATGTAAATTGAGATTTTGAATAAGAGAATCGGAAGCACTGATAAGTCATTTCTATGTTGACTGTCATTCTGTAGGTACAGTGAAACGATCGGAAGATGTGCTAGTGATCCAGGTATGTCGGCTGAGAAGTCTCTAGCAGAGCCTTCTATACGTGTCATTGACCTTCTTGAAGGTAATATTCTACATGGCTCTTTTTCTGCAACTGTTCTTACCCGCCTATTCCAGTGAGATTTATAATAATTATAAGTTTTATAATTTATAATTCCTTTCTTGTTGTCTTTCCTGCCGCATCCCTCTTACCTGCGTATGACAACAGCATTTCTGCGATGCCTATCGACGCCAAGAAATGCATGATTATATATGACCAGCCAGCTTATTCGTGTAACGTCCACTGTCTGCTATCCGATGTATATATAGTCATATTTACATATCGATAATCGTATTATGTTTATGTGGTTCTTGAAACTGCGAAAGCAACAAAGGGTGAGGGACATAAAATGTCTTACATCATTATTTCGAACAGCCAATGAGATCTGCATAATGGCTTACCATCAAGCGGTTTGTTGAACGCGGCGTAAGGTAATGTCAGGCTTAAGATTAAGATTTTGCTGCTCGAATAGCACTATTGTTGAATACAATTTTCCAGCTTACAGAACATGGTCATATCACAAAGTAAAATGGACGCTTATGAAATTAAATGGTATCATGCTATAATAAAAGGCAGCCAATATAACATAATTTGGTCCGTTCACGAAGTACAAAAAAAGGAAGAGAAAAAGCAGACAAACAAAAGATAAAACAGTAACAGCGCGAACAATATATTAAGCAGGTTATGTTACATCTAGCATTGACAAATTGCGCTGTTTGACAGTCTCTTGGGATTACACATACTGTGTAACTGATACTATGTTAATGACATGCGCGTTGTCTTTGTAGAGTAGAATTTCTTGTAGATCAGCACTCTTTCAGAAGTCTGTCCCGTCATTTTGTGTTTCAGCTGTTGTATACTTTCTGAAAGCAGTTAACTTCAGATCTATCGTAATACAAGAACTTTGAGAAGCTGCCATAGAGAGTATTTGAAGTGTTTGTTAGGACTGGTTCTTGAACGGGGGCAAATACACGCAGGCACTAGATTATCTGAATAGACATTCAAGAAAGTCTGTGCACAGAGACGGAAATATCGGTTTGGGTGGAAAAGTGAAATAAATGTCACAGTAAACCGACGACTCGATAGCTAGATATTTTGAGCATTGGGGCTTTAGACCCTTTCTATCCATCCTAAACAAATAAGTGACCCTGAAAATGAATAAATCAGTTAACTGGTAAATGAATACCCGTATTATGATGCGAGATGTGTCTGGCTTTATAGGTGCTTACGATATAGCTCTGACCTGCATAGACGGCGTTCTAGGTAACTAGGAGCAAAGGCGCAGTGCACAAGCCGGGAAATTTGATTTTGGATAAGTTCTGCGTTGTGTTCAGTAAATCGATTGTTATATATGCAGTATAACGCATTCTTCAGACTGTCGATAACCAGAGCATTATAGTACATATAAGATTTCATGTAATGATGGCATTTTCTTATTCTTATAAAGTTTGCTATTTAATTCTGTGGAGGGTTGGAATAATGGTGACAGCTATGCTACTGAACATTAACCGATTTGTCTGGAAGGATCGGCTAGACTACAGATTGTTTCTTTATAACCTAAGAAATAGAATGTAAAGAACGTGTGTGAAACTGAAGCATTCAAATTGCTTAGAAGTTAATGTTCTGCTTAAACATGAGAGCAAGAGCATGGAGAAAGTCGTTTTCGTGTGTCGTATTGTTTTATTCATCATTCATGTTTTGTTCGTTCAGAATCCAGAATTTTGGGTATGTGGAGAAGAGTGTACTGCGATTCTACAGCGGAACATCCCGCTTCGGGGTCGTCTTCCGAAGCGCCTAAGAACAATCTTTCTTCATTTCTTTTTGTCAACAATCCCGGAACCATGGACGAGTTGCACAGAAAGTGTAAAGGTAAAGATAAGGATGTGTGCGATTTGTGAAACATTTTTGATTAAAAGTGTACATATGCTTCCATTATGCTGGCTGCGACCGCTGCTTATTTGACAACAGCGCCTTATTTCCTTTTGTTTTGCATCATCAGTCATTTACTCATTTATTCACGAGTATTCATGAGTACTTCATTCATTCATGAATCGAGTCCCTTGTTTGGTTTTTCATTAAAATTTGTTGTGAAATTTTTAAGTGAGCTAAAAGAATTCAAAAATAGAACGCCAACAATAGTATCCTTCTTTTCGCGAAGTTCATGGTGGAGCAAAGATCTCCATTTCCATGCAGTCAGTCAAGAGAGCCTTATTATAAAGGCATAGTCATCAACTGCTTTGCGACAACCGTAATATGAGGTTTCCTGTTTCCTTTCCACAATGCAGTACTCACTGGTCAACCTCAGAAAAAAGAATGGCTCGTAATCCTGATCGGACTTGGAATCCGGGGCTACTGGGTGGTAAATTCGACGTTCTTACGACTGAGCAACCCCCGGTCAACATTAAGACACGTACCCGTCTAAAATAAGATTTTTGTTAGTAGGAAATTCCACATCTTTTCCTAGTTGTTTTCGTAGACGGGTTTACACAGGCAGACTTGTTTACCTGTCGAAGTTTTTCCATTATTAGACTCAAGGAGATTTTAACAATTTGTACATCGATGAGATGGAGTGCCCAATCACCTTAATACGCGATTCCCTAGTATGGAAACCTGTTACATGCAACAGATTTGCAGAGGTACAGTTATACTTTTATTTATGCTTTGTTACTTTTTAGTATTTGTATTAATGCTTGAATATTTGTAGGTTATTTTAATATTCATGAAAGCAGGTTTCTAAACGGGCCTGTACAAGGTATCACTTTATTATTCTTTGAGCGTTTCTGGGTTCAGTCCAGTTCTTTTTCTGATAAGTTCTCCATTTACAATGGATTTTACTTTATCTTCCGTTGGCGTGCGATTTCTTATTTTGGCCAGTGCCCTTATACAGTCACTGGGCATTCTCGTCAGTAGAGTGTTGACTCAACCGACAGGACACTCGCTGTTCTCCCTTCCGAGATAAAAACCATTACCACTTCGTGGATGGGAAACAAAGCGACACATACTATAGCGGCCATGATCCTGTTGATTGAACCTTACAGAAAGCAGCTTGACGGATAATATGGAAACGGGAGTTTGGGCCGCACCGTAGGCTTCGTAAAAAGAAGGGTGCCACAGATGACACATAAAAGTTAAAAGGGATCGATATCTAAGACGTAGCAGACTTTTCATCTTTTCACTCCACAAAGTGAATACTAGATATGAGTTTTATAATGTAAATTATAATTTGATGGACATGTCACAATAGATTGTTTTTTAATCATTTTTTGCAGTAATTGCAAACTCGCCATTGTGTTTATCTTGATGACAGTGATAACGGTGAAGATAATCATAGCGATGGTAATGCTAATGATGATGACGACAACGACAAGAGCAACGACTGTGTGTACTAATAAAACTTCCTTTTCTAGAATGCTTTCCGCTTTGTTTCGACGGCGCTAAACTGATGGTTCAGAAGGCGGTCAGTGCCCATTTTCAGGTCTCTCATTCGTTGACGATGTCGCCTTTACTTAACGGCTACAAACTGGGCGTAACTTACGTCGGTAATCGTCAGTTCAGTCAAGAAGAGGTTCAAATGTTTTTTTTTTCTTTTTTCTTGTCTCACTCGCTTTTTACCCACGGATTGTTGTTTAAGGTTTATCCGGTACTTCTCGGCGATACCGACATTTACGGCAACATGTCCGCATCGGTTCAGCATCATATCACCGATCGCATTCGTGGTAAATTTGTTGCTCAGGTAGCTGATCATTTATTGTTCTACTTATTCGTACCGCAAAAACGGTGTATTATTATCACCCGCATCCTCTTTTTAGAGTTATGATCATCGCACTAAACTTTTGAGAATTTGCCATTTTATGTATTTCAGATGGGTTGGTTTCTCTATCGGGAACATATCTGAAATGATGCGGTGTCATTATTATCATCATTATGTCATTATTGTATCGTTATGACATTATGATCATCAATACGAAACAGTGCAATACGATACATATGCGTGCAGATGGTGTCCCTCAGTTTTTCTATTAATCTTTTACTGTAGTTAGAAAACATCTTTCTTTTAAACAGGATTGTGTTGTTAGGTAGGTAGACTAGAAAGAGATTTTGTGGCCGTCGTTAGCGCAGACTAGAAAGTTCCTAGTTTTAGTGTCGTCTCTTTTAACTGAGATAGGTCCCTAGAATTACATTTGGCATCGCTGGAAAATAGGGAAATTATGTATCTAGTTGAGTGTTTATCTGGCCTACAGTTCCATGATGGAACAAATTCTTGTGCCCTACTTTTCGTGAAGTTAATGATAGCTCGCTGATCTCTATTTCCGTGTCATCAGCTACGAAGGCTTTATTGTAAAGGCTGAGTTAACGGCAGCTATGTGATGTAAGCGTTTTGTGCAGTCTCCCGTTTTCTTCTCACGGGGTGGTATCCATTTATCAATCCGGATAAGGTGAGTGCTTCGACCCAGGCTCAACCCTAGGATTTTTCGGTTCTGAGTCTGACGTTCTACCAAAACAACTCCGATCTTTTGGTTATGATACGTACAGTAATCATCGCATTAGTGCAACTGTGTATCGTTTATACATTTAGGTTCCGTTGTTTTTATTCTAACTACTGTATCTACTGTACAATATAAACGCTAGTAGTGCTTTATGCGTTTAACTGGGTAATAACTATTATCAAGCAGTAATACTGTTGTTATTTTTATGACTGTATAGTATTCTAATCTGAGAATATTTGGTGATTTTTCTGAGAGTTGGTAACCGGTGAGAATTTTATACGTTAAAATTTATGTGAATTTCTTATGATCCCTATAGGCAGTTTTCATGGAACTCAAATGTTAGCGTTATTGGTCAAATTAAAGTTTGTTTTATTTTTAAGAATTTGTATGAAGTTAGGCTCTCTAACTGACTTGCTTTTGTCTAATCTTCTTATCGTTGTAACGCGTTAGACACTGGTGTTCATTGGTTCTACATTTTAAGATTCAACAGAACAAGTTCGTCGGTGCCCAGCTGACTGGTGACTACAGGGGCGTTTCTACGACGTGCAGCGTGACCGTTGCAAACCTCGACTTGGTGAACAACGCAGGATTGGTCGTGGCATCTGTACTTCGTCGGGTTACGCCATTTCTAGACCTCGGCGTCGAGGCGGTTTGCCAGTACGGCCGCAATGTGCCGGGTGGAAAATTCTCAACGTTAAGCTACGCTGCTCGTTATCTAGGTATAATTTTAGAATATTACTTCCCCGTATGCCTGCGACCTTTTTTCTTTGACTTTACTGAAGCTTTGAGCAAGGTAAAGTGACTTATTGTGTGTTGAAGTTCATTTCAAGGCTGTACTCAACTACTCAGTAAGGCAAGTGAACCAACTGTATTTATTTGAAAGGCAAGAATTATCTTTAGCA